TTTTCTTTTGGAGTAAATCTTGTAATTTTACATACGCATTATTCACCCCTTTGCATCTTTGCCTACCAAAATTTGTGTTTGTATTATCAGCTGTTAGTGCAACAACTTTGGATTTCAAATTGTTTTCATTTATTACTCTGTATAGATGGTTTGACAAAATTTCAGCAGTTTCGCCCTCAATGGATTTTAAATTTAAAAGTTTTACTTGAATGCCCTTGGTAACATTAAAATATCTTACTAGTATTGGATACAATTTAGTTTCATTATGATTGGATGCATCAGATAAAACCGTTACAAATGCTGCAGTTTCCAAGTCTTCTGTAAGAATTTTGTCACAGTAATTTTTAAATACTGATTTAATAATAGCCTCGCATTTTGTCCTGGCGCATGAAAATTTAGCATCGTGAAACTTTTTCAATAATTTAGTTGTACAATCTATGCTACAGAAACTTTGATTGTGAATTATGGTATGGAATGCAAATACTCCCTCCATTGCAGCTAACTGTTTTTCATCTTCAGAATACTTTGAAGTTTTTAAAAAAACTTGTTACTTTACAACTGGAAGCAGATGCATCTGATGATTGCTTATGTTTCTTGGTGGTCAAGTGTTTCGTAATAGCTGCTCTGCCCCCAACTGCAATACAAAATTCTCCGCTGCAAATATTGCAGAAAAAAATGTTATCCTTCTTTGATGTGATGAATGGAAATTCCTTATGCAATTTATCATTGAAATGGTATTTCCTCTTTTTTGATTTTTCCATCCCTAAATGAAATTTAAAATTAAAAATAAAATATAGAGCTACATGAACGATGCAAGCACATTCATTATGAATAAATAAAATTAATTATTAAAACTGAAACAATAACATAAGCAAATAAACTTGTAAATAAAATTATACCGTCCGGGTGTTTTGGTGCGCTCAGCAGCAATTCCTATTGGCTTTCGAAAGCCAATAGTGGGAGTAGCACAGCTCATGCAAAAGTTGAAAAAAAAACCATCAAAAAAGGTCCCGGAACACCGTTCTGAGCGTTCTATGAAAAAAAAAAGCCCTGCAGATTAGTCTTCAAATATCGAAAAGGAGGACATGTAGGAGGACACTTTTTGAGGGAGGACAGAACTTACAAAAGGAGGACTGTCCTCCCTAAAGGAGGATGGTTGGTCACCTTATAGTTGCCAAGTGTTCAAATATTGATAAGATGACCACAGAGATGCTGTAATGGTTGCAAGCATGAACAATAGTCATAAATCACTTTTTTCAGTGACTTGCTGTTGTAATTTTGAATGGTCACTAAACAAAAGATTGTAAGTCAAGGACTATCTATATTCCCAACTCATACAAGACTATTACATCTGGGTTGCAATAATTTAAGATACTATTAGATGGCAGCAAAGAGTTAATTTGCTGTCTCTCTTTGTTGCCTCTAGTGGTAATCTAGAGCGTGGAGGTGTGGTTTTTTTAAGCCTGATATGGTAGCTTAAGCAAAGGTCATTATTACTTAGAACAGGGGTGTCCCACTCAATTTTACTGAGGGCCACATCAGCATTGCGATTGCCCTGGGGCCACCACAAAATTGTATATTGGTTCCTGGCTGGCCTGGGCCAGGGCCAAGGCAGTGGGGGCCATTCCCTGTTTCTAGGAGGGCTTCGCGGGCCACATGAAACTACTTCATGGGCCGCATCCGGCCCCTGGGCCTTGTGTTTGACATGTCTGACTTAGAAGTTAAAGTAGATACTCTGCTTGATGTTTCTAATTCTGAAATAGTGCTGTCAACTTCAAATGGAGATATTAATGAACATGATGGCCCCCACAGTTTGACTGAGTTTAAAGGTATTTCCAGACAACTGGTCTTTTTATCTCCTATATTAATTCCAATATAAAATGCCTCCAAGACTACTAGGTAGACCAGACCAAGAAAACAATTCCACAGGAAGACTAAAACGACTTTTACTGAGATTGACTATAATAACAATTTTATAATTCTTATTATAGTATACATCTTCCCCTTTATACTGCAGTGAATTAAGGAGGTACCAGACTGAGATATTTCTGAATATTATCTCATTGCTCTGGACTTAAAATATATTTCAGTCTCTCTTGATTAGGTAATGCTTTCTGCATATTTCCATCAACTAATCTCTCTTACGCTTAGATTTTGACTGTCTACAGATATGGTCTCTTCCTTAACTGTTTTTAGGAGAAGGAAGCAGGGAAAAATCAACCAGAATTTAACAGGTATTAGCAAACACTACCCTACCTTGGTGAAATCTGGGGAGAAGTGGGTGGTATTAGTACCACAGAAAACAAGTTTGTTGCAATGGAAGTTCCTTCTCTATGAAACCACAAAAATACTAAAATATAAAGTGGTTTTGTTTAGCCATCTGTTCTGACTATTCTATTCTAATATCTAACGTTGTAATCATATCAAAACTGGGAAGTTCCCACTGTTAGACCTGTAAAACAGCTTTAGACAATTGACAATAGTGGAGAGAGAGAGAGAAAGAGAGACAGAGAGAGAGGGAGGGAGGGAGGGAGGGAGAGAGAGAGAAAGAGAGGGATGGATGGATGGAGGGAGGGAGAGAGAGAAAGAGAGGGAGGGAGGGAGAGAGGGAGGGAGAGAAAGAGGGAGGGAAAGAGAGAGGTTTACAGGCTTAGATCCCATTCATAAAAAAAGATCTCAAATAATGTTTTAGACACCAACGTAGTCAGGAATTAATCAAACTAAGTAGAAACAAGCTATCAAAAATTATAAATGATTACTTTTTCCACTGGATTGCCTACGCTTCTTTTCTTTTTTCTGGCTTTTGAGCAAAATGGAAATCTCTGACAAGGAGAGTAAGACGTTTTCGCTATGCGTAATCTTGTATTAAATGTTATCTTGGAATGTAATCTTGTGCCACAAATGACAAATGTAATCAACCAGATGTGAACACAAACCTTGTGAGACTGGCATGTTGTAAATAACAAAGAAACTTGTTGTAGAAACATCTGAGAGAACTTTTACTCAAATGCTTGATATTTATCTCCAATCTCAAGCCTTGAGGCTCTCTATTTCTGCAGAAATATACAGCTGGAATAAAAAGCAGTAAATGCTCCAACACTGGAAGTTTTTAAGAAGAGACTGGACAGCCATTTGTCCGAAATGGTGTAGGGTTTCCTGCCTGAGCAGGGGGTTGGACTAGAAGACCTCCAAGGTCCCTTCCAACTTTATTACTATTACTATTGCCCCTTTTGCACTGGGAAAACAGAACCCAGCTGAGGCTCCTGTTAACATGTCTATGTTAAAGAAGTGCATATTTCCCAGGTCCATTACTAATTCAGAAAGCATCGTTGTTTAAGTCAGAGCGATAAATTTAGAGACTCCACTTTACTATAACGATCAGAAAATCAAATGCAGAACTAAGCAAAAAAAAAAAAAAAAAAACAACCCACAAAGCAAACACAGGATCACGTTCAAGGGATGTCTCAACTACTGAAACCTTACAATGAAAAAATCCAAATTAATTTTTTTCCATTACCCACAGCTGTAGAGGGTGTAACATACACTCTTGACAGAAAGGGAGCTGAGTGTCATGGTTCCAAAAGAAGCAGCTTTTCAAAGAACTTTGAGGCTTTGTTTACCTTAAAGAATCCTTTTATTGCTACATAGCTTCGGCAGGTACATAATGAAGCCAAAAAACTGAATCCTCCCACCCCCAATCATCCCTAACAAGCATAACTCATTCCTTCATTTTACAGTCATCAGTCACGTTTTCCAATTTGTTTGAATTGTGAACTTTCCCTCCCCTAACTCCTCTGGTTACAGCTGACCTTGGAAATACTGTACTAAAATATTGTTGTGGCTAACTATCCCCCAAGTACATACTTTCCCACCCGCTATTCTAACATTGTCTGACTTTAACTCTAGAAGTGATATACAGGTTAAATAAAACATGTTTGCTTCTTCATATATGGCAAGCAAGAACATCCGATGTTAGCAGTCTTGACATCGAGTTTCAGTAATGTAGCCCACTGCTATTTATAACGAAAGATATTTCCGTGATTACCAGGTGTATGCATGTTGTACCTTGCAATCTTTTGCAAATTACCAGCAGTCTAAAAAAGAAGCTGTTGCATTTAAACCAAAGTGGATTTGAAAGCAATAAAGTGCCATCTTTGACCGAACTTATCTCAGACTGAGACCCAAAGCCTAGAGCAGAGGTCTTCAAACTTGGCAACTTTAAGACTTATGGACTTCAACTCTCAGGAATTCTGGGAGTTGAAGTCCATGAGTCATAAAAGAGCCAAGGTTGCCCACCCCTGCTCTAGTCAGTAAAAGTCTCAGGGGTATGTTTTATACTTTTGCCCACATAATTTTTTACTGTTGTGAGTTTCATAGTGCATCTAAGGGCAGGACAGATGGGGGGGGGGGAGCAACAGATGCAATGTGAATGAGCCTGCCTCCATTTCTTCACTGGTTAGGATTTTATTATTTATTTTTTAAAATATTTTATTGATTTTTAAGAATAACAATCTCCAGTGTCTGGTGTACAGCATGTTGTCTTGGTTTATATATTTGACAAAGAAAAAAAAGGCAATAACTCGGAGAGTAAGAACCACACCGTTTTCTAGCTAAACAATCACATACACTAGTTTTTTTTTAAGATGGTTCTCTCCATATATGTTGTTTTATATCTCCTTTAAATCAAAGAAGCATAATAATTCTAGCCCCCCACATCTGGACAGCAAGCACTTCCAGGTAGACTAGTTATGCCAATGGCTCTAGATTGCAATTTTATCTTGTTTTCTCCAGTGACTACATCTTGCAAACCAAAATCACCAGTAGCCCTAAAATGGGGAAGGCAGAATGGTTGATTCCCCCCATAAATCTTCAAAGGTCTAGCAGGGCTTTTTTAAAAAAAATCCTAATTGTTTAAGAGCAGCAGCAACCAAAAATGTTTTGTTTTCCATTGTAAATGAAATTGGGAGAGCAAGGACAGAACAAACAACAGCAGGCTTGGATTTTGAGCTCTGAATTAGTACTAAAATTTAATTTCTGGGTTAAGAATATGCTTAGAATTATAAAGAAAGGGTGCCTCTAAATAATGGTTCTCCCTACAAACTACTTATTTCTTATTTCTCAAAATTCTAATTTAAAAAAGGACAAATATAAAGGTCCAAAGGAGCTTAGGGTGAAGTCTTCTAGAATATCCCCATTTGTTTTCTTCTTCTGATATCTCTCTGGATTTGGCAGAGAGAACAAGTGGGGAAACACCCCACAATGCAGGTATCCCCACAGATGGATCCCTGTTGAAAAAAAAAAGAAACCAAATGAATCAATAACTTTTTAAATAAAATCATGATGTAGAGATATGGAATTACAAGAAGCTAGCTCTAGGTTGGATGGCAAAATACAGGTAGTCCTTAACTTACAACAGTTTGTTTAGTGATTGTCCAAAGTTACAATGGCACTGAAAAATGTGACTTAAGATCGTTTTTCACAATTACGACCTTTGTAGTATCCCCATGATTCATGTGATCAAAATTGAGATGTTTGGCATCTGGTTCATATTTATGATGGCTACAATGTCCTGGGATCATGTGATCAGTTTTTGTGACTTTCTGACAAGAAAAGTCAATGGGGAAGCCAGATTCACTTAACCATATTACTAACTTAATAACCACTTAACAACTTTGGTAAGGAAGGTTGTAAAATGGGGCAAAACTCACTTAACAAACGTCTCAGTTAACAACAGAAATCCATTACATTAGAAAAACCTATTTTAAAAAATCCACTTCATCCAAAGCCAGTGGCAGCAGCAACACAATCAAATTAACCACAAAATCAGCTCCGTGTCTACTTATGGTCCTCAGGCCCACTGACAAAACATGTTTTTAGAGCCTTTCAGAAAAATAGCAGGGTATGGGGGCACAGAGGGTCTTTTTTGATCATCCTCAGATGACAATCCCTATTCGATGGGACTTGTAACATATTCTGCCTTCCCATCCTTGTGGGTCAGGTAGATGTGATAGTTATGTTTGGCATGCAACAAGTATCATTTTTATTTTTATTCCTATAATTCTGAAAGATTATGATCTACTGCAGATAACAAATGGAAAGAATCACTAAAGAAAGGATGCCGAACAAGGGACAAAATGAAATGCGAATAACAAAAATTAAAATAATTTTTTAAATTATTTTACATAATTTCCCATGGCAAGTTGTCCCATGGTGAGTGGGCAGCAAGGAGTTGTCCCATTCCGTTTCTGAGTTGGTATTTCTCTCCAATTTCACGAGTACTTCTCAAGATTCTAGTTTGATTTTTTTGGTTTGAACTAGAGTGTAGAAACCCGAAGTTTGTCTAATCCAGGGCTCTACAAACTTGGCAACTTTAAGACTTGTGGAACTCCCAGAATTCCACAGCCAGCCATAATCTACTTACAGGGATATTGTATTTTGTCCTGTACACAGCCCGCATGGTCACAGATGCTCCGCAACAACAACATTCATCCATATTTGCAGCAACTTGGCATGCCAAACAAGGGAAGCAGAACAATCCACAGAGACCTAGAGGGAGGAAGGAAAAGTGTTTGTAAAAATGATTTTGGCAAAGTGTTGAATGACATAAGATTTATCATCCAGAAAATGTAAATGATGCTATTGCTGGAACATTAAAATTGCAACTGCAAATGCTAGTTAAAACATTATCTAGCAGAGGGAGGACTGAAAAAGCTAAAAAGCCGCATTAAATTAAAAGGGCACCCCATTCCATTTTTCTGTATGTTGATGTTCCCAACTATTATGAAATAGAATTAAGAAAATTACTGTTGAAGAGAGACTGGCTGAGCCAGGGAGAGGAATCAAACAGGGGACTAGTCTGGAATCCCTATGTGGGTACAAGAGGGTGCAGATATTTCTTTATCCAATTAGATAATATCTTTAGTACTAGCAGTGATGCTGTCCTAGAATTGATGATATTACCTATCTGGGTAATGAAACATCTGCAAGAAAACAACCAAGCTTGGAAAAAGCAAGGACTTCTCATTATGAAAATTAAAATTCAAAACACTAAGAGGACACCAGACTGTTTTCTTAAAAAATCTTTTAGCATAATTCTTCAGTTTTGTAGTATCAGGTGCAAGAATCCAGGTGCCACAATAGAGTTCAAAAGTACTATGAGTGTATTTCATGCTATACACAAGAATCTGATCTACTAATGGTCAAGGCAGATTGGTGCTAAATAAGAGTCAAGAGAATTCACGGGAGGGCTGGATTTAGATTTCTTGTGGGAGCATAGTGATTCCAAACTGGTGATACATCTGACCCCACCCTCGGGCTCAGCCTGTCATTTTCTACATGTAGAACTTTAAAGTTCCATCTTCTACACAATTTTTAATAGAAGAGAAGCTGTGTCTCTTTTTATCTCTTGCCATCCTAATTCCAATCCAATGGGCTGTTCAACAATGAAACATCCATTGCTCAGATTATAACGAATCATTTATTTCTGCAACCTATCCAGTCTGGAAGAATATCCAGCCCAATCTTCCCAAGTTCCTAAGAAGGCTTTGAGAATCCCACTTTCAATTATGGACCTGGTCACTTACAAATGTCACACTCGCTACAGCAGTCACATAAGTCCGTTTGCCAATGGTTTGCTTGGGGCTGGACCACCATCACCGTCTGTGGCTGAGTGACAACCATAGGTTGAACATTCATTGTGGGCAATATTCTAAGAAAAAGAAAGAAGAGAACCCAAAAGAGAAGAGATTAATTAACAGGCTTAGTAGAACATGGTCTCAGTCCCAACTCCACAGAATGGAATCTGTTTGCTGGACTCAGTTCTTGGATGAAATCTTTCAGATACACAAATTGGTATTGTGAGAATCTTTGTTCCAAACTGGGATAGAGCCATACTGAATGTCCAATTGTTCTCTGTCATATAATAATAATAATAATAATAATAATAATAATAATAATAATAATAATAATAATAATAATAATAATAATAATAATGGAGTTTGGCTTGGACAAATGTGCCACACTTACTATCAAACAAGGAAAAATAATGAAAACTGAAGGAATCAAAATGCCCCACGAAAATAACATTAAGAGTCTGGATGAGGAAGAGTACTACAAATACTTGGGTATCCTTCAAGCTGACAACATCAAGCACACTGAAGTCAAGAAAAAGATTAGAGGTGAATACATCAAGAGAGTGAAGAAGATCTTAAAATCCAAACTCAATGGAGGAAATACCATAAAGGCAATCAACACCTGGGCAATCCCAGTTATTAGGTACACAGCTGGAATAGTGGACTTGACTCAAGCAGAACTAAAAGCAATGGATAGGCAGACCAGAAAAATAATGACAATGAATCACGCCCTTCATCCACGCAGTGACATTGATAGACTTTATCTAACAAGGCAAATAGGTGGGCGTGGAATGCTACAAGTACATCAGATGGTTGAAGAAGAAAAAATGGCTTTGGAAGAATATCTGAAGAACAATGATGAAGATGCACTGAAATTAGTATATCAGGAAGCTTACTGACTACTGGAGAGACCAAACTGGCCTACAAGAAAGACCAAATGAAGAACAGAATAGAGGCATGGGAAAACAAAGCACTACATGGCCAATACATTAAAAAAATAGCTGGGAAAGCAGATAATAACAAACCTGGCAATGGCTAAGAGCAGGAAAATTGAAGAAAGAGACGGAGGGACTAATTCTGGCTGCACAAGACCAAGCCTTAAGGACAAATGCATATAAAGTCAAAATTGAGAAGACAGCAACAGACAGTAAGTGCCATCTATGCAAAGAAGCTGAAGAAACAGTGGACCACTTGGTAAGCTGTTGCAAGAAGATTGCACAGACTGACTACAAGCAGCGGCATGACAAAGTAGCACAATGGTGCATTGGAAGATCTGCAAAAAATATCATTTGCCTGTAAGCAAAAACTGGTGGGATCATAAAATAGAGAAAGTCATAGAAAATGATAAAATTAAACTGCTCTGGGACTTCAGAATTCAAACAGACAAGCACCTGCAACATAACACCCCAGACTTAACAATTGTCGATAAGAAAGACAAAAAAGTCTGGATAGTGTACGTGGCAGTGCCTGGAGACAGCAGAATAGAAGAGAAAGAACTGGAGAAGATAACAAAATACAAAGACCTACAAATAGAAATAGAAAGACTGTGGCAAAAGCAAGCAAGGGTAGTACCAATAGTCATACGCGCCTTGGATGCAATCCCAAAACAACTGGAGCACCACTTGAACACCATTGGCATTGACAAATTCGCTATTAGTCAATTGCAAAAGGCGGCTTTATTAGGAACTGCTTCCATCCTGCGACAATATCTGTAATACCATCAAACATCCACATCTGCCTATCCCAGGTCCTGGGTAAGGACTCGATAGGTAGACAAAATGCCAAATCCAGTCTGAACATCTGGCTGACTGTGCGATGATCCATAATAATAAAGTTGGAAGGTACTTTGGCGATCATCTAGTCCATGGTATAGGAAACCCTATACCATTTCAGACAAATGGCTGTCCAGTCTCTTGTTAAAAACCTCCAGTGTTGGAGCACCCACAACTTCTGGAGGCAGGTTGTTCCACTGGTTAATTGTTCTAACTGTCAGGAAGTTTCTCCTTAGTTCTAGGTTGCTTCTCTCCTTGATTAGTTTCCATCCGTTGCTTCTTGTCCTGCCATTAGGTGCTTTGGAGAATAGATTGACTCCCTCTTCTTTGTGGCCGTCCCTGAGATATTGGAATACTGCTATCATGTCCTTCCTCGTCTTTCTCTTCATTAAACAAGACCTACCCAATTCTAGCAGCCGTTCTTTATATGTTTTAGCCTCCAGTCCCCTAATCATCTTTGTTGCTCTTTTCTGTACTCTTTTTAAAGTCTCAACATCTTTTTTACATCGTGGTGATCAAAACTGGATGCAGTATTCCAAGTGTGGCCTTACTAAGGCCTTGTAAAGTGGTATTATTACCTCACATGATCTTGATTCTATTCTTTTTCAGGGGAAAGCGCAAACGCAATCCTCCACTACCACAAATTATGCAGTCGAGTTTCCTGCATTTGGGAAAATCGCAGGGGTGAGGACACCCGGATTGCAATGGATGAGCCTCACCTTGGAAAAACCTCCTTCATGATCAAGGTATCTCCCCTGCCAGGTAAGTATTTTGAAAGAATGGTTCCCTCTGCACTCAGCCAATTGCTTCTTCCTCCCTTCCTTCTAGTTCAGGGGTCTTCAAACTGGGCCCTTTTATGACTTGTGGGCTTCAACTCCCAGAATTCCTCAGTTCGTGTTGAGGATCAAGTTTCTGTGGACTGTGCTTGTTTGCCTTGGACATTGACTCAGGTCTGTGAGAATAAAAGGGGTTGTTTTTTTCTTGTGGTTCCTGCCTGTTTCTTAGAAGAGGGGTTTCTCCTTGTGAGCATAACAAGGACTCATGTAGACTGGGTCAGAAAAGATCCTGTTGGAAACAGTACGAGTTCACAGATGGAACTACTTGAGACAATAACTCGAAAGCAGCAGAGAATTTATTCACGTACTTGCAAACACAGGTGCACATAAGGTGGGCCTAGAATGAATCGTACATCAGCTTTTTATTCCCTTACACAAATTCACCCCTCCTTATATGGTACCTGCTATCTCCTTTCCAAGAAGCCCCCTTGCGTCTAAACCTTTAGCGACAACTAGCATAAGCTCCATTTTATCTTTGTGTTTCCTCTACTTACAGTGTCAACTGACAATTAGATGTTCTCTATCTAACAGTTTAGAATCTCTCCATTTTAGCACAGGTGTTAAGCTTTTACTTTAGAAACAATAGAAACTCCATTTTATAAATGACGATCCCATAACTAAGTAGAGACCAAAGGCTGCCTGAACATACCTTCATTAAAATACGGTTCAGTGCCAAAATAAACATCAGTAGAGATGCTCTGTTTTTGCTTTGATGGCTCATCATGCTGGGCTATTAACAAGTAGTCTTACAGGGACAACTGGAAGGGAGGGAAGCATCATTTAGAATAGAATGGAGCTGGAAGGGACATTGGAGATCTTCTAGTCCAGCCCCCTGCTCAAGCAGGAGAGCCTATATCATTTCAGACAAGTGACTGTACAGTCTCTTCTTAAAAATCTCCAGTGATGGAGCGCCCACGATTTCTGAAGGCAAGCTGTTCACTGGTTAATTGTCCTCACTGTGAGGAAGTTTCTCCTTAATTTCAAGTTGCTTTTCTCCTTGATTAGTTTCCATCCGTTGTTTCTTGTTTTCCCTTCTGGTCCTTTGGAGAATAATTTGACCCCCTCTTCTTTGTGGCAGCCCCTCAAATATTTGAATACTGCTATCATGTCACCCTTAGTTCTTCTTTCCTTTAGACTAGCCAGCATACGAACAACCAGCCGTTCTTCGTATGTTTAATATCTACAGAGTGGCTTACCAGCTATATTGCAAGCAGCAATATGGCCATAGACAAACTGGGTTTTCTTCTTCTTTCTCCCCTTTAAATACAGTATAGATATTTAAATAGACAGTATAAATATTCAATAAATAGAAAGAAGCATTTCAAAACTTAGGCACTGGGAATATATAAGGGGGGAATTAGAAATGAAACAATTTATCCTAGTCACTTCTTAGCTTTCCTCTGCAAAAATGACCAGCTTTATATCTGTGTTACTTTAGGCATCCACTTTTATTGCCTCCCAAATTTAAAAAAAATGAAGATTTACATTTTGTAATGTAATACAGAATGTCACAAAGGGGTCTTTCAACAACCAGATTAGATCCAGGTAAATAAAAACTTGGAAAACTTGCAAAAGCGAATAAATATAAAAGGCAGAAAGATTTAAAGCAAAACAAGAATTCAAACCTTTTTTCCCCCTTCTTCTTTTCTCCTTCTTTTCGACTCTCGTTGCCTAGAGGTAGTAAACTCTGCCCACTGGCTGACTTTTGCTTTTGTGTTTTAAAACTGAAGGGGAATTACCCTACGAAACTATTTGCTAGATATTTTTTTAAAAAAACAAGGAAGTAGCTTTTCTTTCAACCAGATGTAAGGATTGGAAATGCTTAGAAATTAACTTTAAATTAATTGTTCCTTGTCTCATCTTTAGAAACAATTCTGATAGCTCTGCCTTTTTTTCTATTTCAGATGCTAGGAGTCAAATAACAGATCCCTCACTATTCCTACACCTCTGACCATTTTATTTTATTTTATTTGTATCCTGCTTTTGTTATTATTTTTACAAATAATTCAAGGTAGCAAACATATCCAACACATATCCCTTCTTCTATTTGCCCCATTACAACAACCCTGTAAGGTGGATTGGGCTAAGAGAGAGAGAGACTGGTCCAAGTCACCCAGCTGGCTTTCATAGCTCAGGTGGAACTTGAACTCACAGTCTCCCACTCATATTTCTTATAAGATTTTACTTTCCTGGCCCCTTCTCATCTCATCTCATCTCATCTCATCATGTGTTACTTCCGGACACTTTCCAGTTGGTCAATATCCTTCTTGATTGCACTACAGGGAGCCCGATGCAATAAAGGTAGTCCTCAACATATGACCACAACTGAGCCCCAAATTTCTGTTGCTCAGTGAGACATTTGTAAGTGAGTTTTGCCCCATTTTACAACCTTTCTTGCCACAGTTGTTAAGTGAATCACTGCAGGTGTTAAATTAATAACATGGATGTTAAGTGAATCTGGCTTCCTTGTTAACTTTGCTTGTCAGAAGATCGCAAAAAGGGATCACTTGACCCCGGGGATGCTGCAACCGTCATAAATATGAGTCAGTTGCCAAGCATCTGAATTTTGATCACATGATCAACAAATCATTGCATTGCCATTATAACTTTGAATGGTCACTAAATGAACTGTTGTAAGTTGAGGATTGCCTGTATTCTTAGTGTTGCCTGATCAGGTCAGACTAGACAAGAACTCGTTTAACTTGATCTTAAGTCCGTATTTCCATTGATGCAACTGAGATTCAATAGTTGCAGCTGCATCACAGTTTTGGTTAGTGATCAGTTTGTGGTTTATTTTCATTGTTACGAACTGAACATAATTAAAGCATAGTGATTAATCACAAAAACAATATAGCAATGCTTGCTGGAGAAGCTTACTCTTCCTTGCTCAAAAATGTTGGGAGGGAGGGAAGGGGAAGGAAGGAAGGAAGATTGAAGAGGAAAGGAAGGAGATGGAGAAGGAAGGAGATTGAAGGGGAAAGGAAGGAAGGAAGGAAAGAAGGAAGGAGAGAGAGATTGAAGGGGAAGGGATGGAGATGGAGATGGAAGGAAGAAAGGAAGGAAGGAAGATTGAAGAGGAAAGGAAGGAGATGGAGAAGGAAGGAGATTGAAGGGGAAAGGAAGGAAGGAGAAAGAAATTGAAGTGGAAGGGATGGAGATGGAAGGAAGGAGGGAAGGAAGATTGAAGGGGAAAGGAAGGAGATGGAGGAGATTGAAGGGGAAGGAAAGAGAGAGATTGAAGGGGAAGGGATGGAGATGGAGATGGATGGAAGGAAGGAAGATTGAAGGGGAAAGGAAGGAGATGGAGAAGGAAGGAGATTGAGGGGGAAAGGAAGTAAGGAAGGAAGGAAGGAAGCAAGCAAGGAGAGATTGAAGGGGAAGGGAAGGAGATGAATGGAAGGAAGGAAGGAAGGATTGATCGATCTTTGGAGAGTCATGTTTTTCCAGATGGTGATGAACTGCAACTCCCAGCATTCCCCACTCTTCCACAGTGCTTTTTAGGGCTGCTGGGGATGGTAGTCCAGTAAGGTCTGGAGACACACACAGATGCCCTCCGACGGCGAGGGAGATAGGCCAAGCGGTGCGGGGAAGGCTCCGGCGCGGTGTGGAGGGCGGCCGGAGGCAGAGCATGGCCGGACAACCAGGAGGCGTGGGGATCGGCTCAGCGCCGCAGCTCAGCTCAGTCAGCAGCAGCAGCAGCAACAGCAGCAGCAGCAGCAGCAGCAGAGCGTTGCCCGAGCAGGGCGGGAAAAGAGGGGGTGGTGGTGGCAAGTCATGAAAGCAGCATCCACATGTTCAGGGTGCAAACGCCTTGGACCGTTTGGCTCCCCCACCCCTTTATTTACTGATCTTCCACAAGCTCGTGCAAACAAGCCCCGAGGAGTTCTGAACGAGCGGTATATTAAAAAAAAAGCTTTCAACAACGAGGCAGAAAGGGGAACTCATCACGGCTCTTTTTTTCCCCTTTCTCGGTGATTGGGAAGGCAACAGCCAGAGACGCCGCTGCACAAAGGGAGGCAGAGAGAGGAGTGAGGGGGAAAACCTCACTCAACTTTCACCTTTATCAGACCCGGTTCCCTTCTGGTCGACCCCCCCCCACCCACCCACGCCTTCAGCTCCCGCTACAAATCGACGCTACCTCTCGGGAGTATTTCGCCAGGCTTTTTTTTTTACCTTGACCCTGCGCTTCTCCCAGACAGAAGCCAGGCAAGAGGACCTGAAAGATGCTGAGCAGAAGGTTCATAGCCGTGGCAACGCGGCTGTAGCTGCTCTGCAATGGGTAGCACAGCCCTGCCACGCTGCTGAGGCGGCTGCTTTCCTATCTGCCTGAGCTGGCTGGCGGAGCTAGCCTTGAGCAGAAATTCTCACTAGTATCTTGGTTCCTAAGACCATCAGAAATATGTGTTTTCCGATGGTCTTAGGTGACCCCTGTGAAAGCATCGTTCGACCCCCAAAAGGGTTGCGACCCACAGGTTGAGAACCGCTGCTTTAGAGACTGTTGTGATTCCTCACCAGCCAGTGGATCCGGCAACTGAGTCTGAGGAATCAGAGGAGGAGGAGGGGCCGGTCGTGACATTAGAATCAGAGGAAGGCTCCAAGGAGCTCCAAGACTTACAGTCGGATGAGGAGCCTGGCCCCTCTACTCGCGCTCAGGCTGAGACCCAGCTGTGCTGGGAGCCTGAGTTGGACAGTGATGAAGAACAGTTGGGACAAATCCAGGATGCACGAAAGCGCAGGTAAGAGAAGCAACTTTGGCAGCTACATGCCTCTGTGTTTCATCTTGCCTTTAGATTAAGGAGAGGGGCGGGGAGATGTTGTTGATATGAATCACGTAAGACGTTGGGGTTTTGGCTGGGAAAATTATTGTTTAAGTTTATGAATCGATGTTGGAACTCCAGAGTTAGTTTTGCTTCCACAG